CACAGGCTTCCTCCGAGACCTGTGAAGCCAACCACCGCTTCTTTTCGAGCTGCCGCTCACGCAACGTCACTGGACAGCCGAACGCGCTCGGAGGAAAGCGCCAACCGCCAGATCTGTTACGTCAGCTAACAGACGCCTGCGCTGACTAGCATCGCGCTGAGTGATGGGGGGAGAAGGAGGGGCCATCCACCCACCCAGAGAGAGCGAGGCCAATTGTGCTCTCTCGGACTCCCGGCTACGGACGGCTGTAGCATCACCAGGGATCGAACTCGCGATCTCCTGATGAGGGCCAACGCTTAGACGGTTGCGCCACTCGGGAGCAGCCTGTTTAATTCTAAGGGGATGAAGAGAAGTTGGGGAATTTGAAAACGGTCATGTGATAATGAATTATTGTATCAGGAAAAGTGAGATACTGGCCCTTTAAAAGCTTTCAGTAGATGGTTCATCTGTCCGTAGCGAGAAACGTCACATAATTTAAATGAGTTCATCACAAACATCTCCACATCCGCATCGATTTTAATTTCAGACCCAACTGATTCATGGCTCGTCTGCGTCGGGTGGAGGGTGGTGGTGGGGGGGTGTAGGGGGTTTGGGGTGGGGGGCCCGCGTGGTGTTTTAATGGAGTTTCTGCTCGGCTGCTGTACTGATAGCATCTGACACATAATTGTTTTCTGTGTCTGTGCTGCGGCTTGTCTGAGGCTTTGCTGCTGTGTGGCTTCAGATATTATTGGAGTCGTTGAGGAAAGAAACAGTGATACGGATGCAGGTTATTGATCAGCACGTCGGCTCGTGTTTGTGGTAGGAATATGCAGTCGTTTCAGTCCAGTAAACTTCGAGACGGTCGTGTGTGTTTTCAGTCTGATCAGCATTACAACATTATGTTCCATTCACACATCACACCTAAGCATGTTATTAAAACCATTTACCTGGACATTGAGCGTGTTTATGCTTGTAAAATCACCACATACCTTCAGAATACAGGCAGATAAATATATATACAGTAAAATGTAACTAAAATTTCAAATATCTTGTGAGCTAGTTGGAAGAACAAAGTTTGGTTCCAGATTCCTCCTGGACGTCTCCAGCCATCGCATGGATTTATTAAATTTCATTGCCAGTGCACACAATTTAAGATAAAGAAGAATTGATAAGCCAAACCATTGGACGGTAAATACAATCTATATATATATATTTCCAAACCCAGTATTGATTGTATTTACCGTATATATATATATATATATATATATATATGATGCACAGCTGTAGGAGTCGCTCAAGCCATTTGAACGTTTTTACTTCTTACTTTGCCACAAACAGAAAATGGACACTTTTTTAAGATCACACTTGACCAACAGCCGATTTGGTCAGACTCTGAAGATGAGACGACACTAAATTCCCAAACTGTCATCACCACTGAGCAGCTTTTCAGTCGGCAGCTGTGACAGAAGAACAGCTAACCAACCTGGAATCAGCCAGAAATGAACCCAACACCATTCGCCAAACTAAATGGGCTGTAAGATGCTTTACAGACTGGCTGGAACAAAACAACATTAATACTGATCTGGCAAAAACTGACAAAACTGAGCTAAACTTGATATTGCGGCAGTTTTATGGCTCAGTCTGATTTGGTCAGACTCTGAAGATCAGACTACACGTTTGGCGAATGGTATTGGGTTAATTTCTGGCTGATTCCAGGTTGTTTAGCAGTTCTTCTGTCACAGCTGCCGACTGAAGAGCTGCTCATGGTGATGACAGTTTGGGAATTTAGTCTAAGGAGCTGGAGAACGAACTGCCGGCTGTGCAGCGAGTGGGCGGAGCTCGTTACTCTGACGTAGCAACAAGCTGCCTGTTAAGGAACTATAATCTGGTGAAGGAACTGCGAACATTAAAACATATTAAACGCCGCGTTCACGGCCCAGTTTATTAACTTATTACTGTATTTATTTAACTGTTGTATTAAAGCAATAGAACACTCGAGGAGTGTGTTATCGCCAATAACATCACGGCTGTGATGATCTACGGCGACCAAATCACAGCAGTGATGCTCGAAAGTTTGTGAACCCTTTAGAATTTTTACATTTCTGCATAAATAGGAAAATATTAGAATTGGTCATTTATTTAAAAGTATGTGAACCTTTAGGATTAGCAAATAATTTGAAGGTGAAATTAGAGTCGGGTGGTTTCACTCAATGGGATGGAATCAGGTGTGAGTGACCACCCTGTTTTATTTAAAGACCAGGGATCTGTCACAGTCTGATCTTCACAGCACATGTTTGTGGTAGTGTATCATGGCACCAACCAAGGAGATTCTTGAGGACCTCAGAAGAAGAGCTGTTGATGCTCATCAGGCTGGAAAAGGTTACAAAACCATCTCTGAAGAGTTTGGACTCCACCATCCACAGTCAGACAGACTGGGTACAAATGGAGGAAGTTCTAGACCATCGTTACACTGATGAAGTTTTAGGTCAAATTTATGCAGAAATATAGAAAATAATAATAAAAACAAAACACAGACGCTTTTTGGATTTTTTTACGTTTGAAAACAGCCCAGTAATTTTATTTCTGCCCAAAATCATTAGTGCCTACTTCACGGAATATTATTATAATTGATTATAATTTATTCTAATATTCAAACATAATGTCTAAACTTCCAGGACTGCAGTGCTGTGCAAAAGTCCACTCGTTCATTTAGGTGGTTCATTTCTCAGCAACAGGAAAAAATCAGAAAATGACATAATTAGAACCGCATTTCCAAAAAGGTTGGGATGCTGTGCAAAATAACAAATAAACAAAATGCAACTTTTTTGGAACGTGTTGTTGGCATCAAATTCAAAATGGACACAAATTAAAAAAAAAAAAACAAACTATAATTTCTCAGTTTCAGCATCTGATATGTTTATATCTTTCTACTATTTTCAATGAAATATAGGGTTTAAATGATTTGCACATCATCGTATTTTGTTTTTATTTACATTTTGCACAACGACCCAACTTTTTTGGAAATGAAGTTGTACATACAGAAAATTACAACGCCTAAATCTGATCTCGGCTGTTTGAGAGTCAGTGAGTCGCTTTTCACCTTTATTCCAGCTTCCATTCTTTTCAGGAGACTCACTTTCAGTTCCTCAAAGAATCTGCAGACACACCTCCAAAGTTCAGTCTTAGAAGCTGGTTGATCATTTTCTGAAGTAATCAAACACATTCAGTGGTGCTGAGGTCTGGACTCTGGGGTGGTCAGTCCATCGTTCAGGAATGAAGAGAAAGAAAAGGAGGAAAGGAAAGAGTGAATGACATGGAATAAGGAGAGAGGAGAAGAAATAAAAGTGAGGAAATAATGAGATGAAAGCAGCAGGTGAAGGGAGAAGAGAGGAGAGGAGAAGAAAGGAGAAGAGAAGAAAAGAGAGGATGAGAGAAGAGAAGAAAGAAGAAGAGAAGAGGAGAGGAAAAGAGAAAAGAAAAGAAAAGGAGAGGAAAAGAGAATAGAAGAAGTGAGGAAAAGAGAGCAATGACGAAGAGAGGAAAAGAGAAAAGAAAAGAAGAGGAGAGGAAAAGAGAGCAATGAGGAAGAGAAGAGAAGAAAGGAGAAGAGAAGAGGAGAGGAAAAGAGAAAAGAAAAGAAGAGGAGAGGAAAAGAGAAAAGAAAAGAAGAGGAGAGGAAAAGAGAAAAGAAAAGAAGTGAGGAGAAGAAAGGAGAAGAGAGGAAAAGAGAGGATGAGAGAAGAGAAGAGAAGAAAGGAGAAGAGAAGAGGAGAGGAAAAGAGAAAAGAAAAGAAAAGGAGAGGAAAAGAAAAGAAGAGGAGAGGAAAAGAGAGCAATGAGGAAGAGAAGAGAAGAAAGGCGAAGAGAAGAGGAGAAGAAAAGAGAAAAGAAAAGAAGAGGAGAGGAAAAGAGAGCAATGAGGAAGAGAAGAGAAGAAAGAAGAAGAGAAGAGGAGAGGAAAAGAGAAAAGAAAAGAAGAGGAGAGGAAAAGAGAAAAGAAAACAAGAGGAGAGGAAAAGAGAGCAATGAGGAAGAGAAGAGAATTCAGTGGTGTTGAGGTCTGGACTCTGGGGTGGTCAGTCCATCGTTCAGCTTCTTTGTTTAATGTATCCGTCTCCTTTTCTCAGTGAGGTTCTTCTTGACAGCTACACATCCTTTCAGACCCACAGCGCTGAGTCGTCTTCTCACAGTGGAAGGATGGACAGAAACACCTGTGGATGTTTTCAGATCTGAAGCAGCTTGATTTTCTCCTCTCTCTCAGAGATGAAAGCTTTAAGTGCTGTTTATCTGATGGGGGCAGTTTTGGGGTCTCCCAACTCTTCCAGGTGGTTGTTAGGAATCCCAATTTCTCCATAGCTTTCAATCTGTTTTTGTAAACTCCTATTTTTCGACCAGAGCAGGATGGGTTCCCTTTTTAGTCTTGGTTCCTCTCAGTGTTTCTTCCTCTTCCTCTTAGGGAGTTTTTCCTTGCCACTGTCTCCATTGGCGACGCTCATGGGGGCTCAGACCCGGATTGTTCTGTAAAGCTGCTTTGTGACAACACCTGTTGTAAAAAGCGCTGTATAAATAAACTTTGACTTGACTCGACTTTTTCTCCCACTTATGCATGTGGATTATTTAACCTCCTCAGAAATGTCTTCTGAAAAATGAACATGTCGTTCTTAGTGGCTGTTTTTAGATTAAACTGTGGACACAGCCTCTACATTCTCCATAGAAAAGCACTGTCCAGTAGAATGCTGTGCTTTTTGTCTCTTCTCTGTCATTAAAGGATGTGACTATATTAGCTTTGCTGTAATAACAGTGAGCAGAAACCAGCAACATGATTTATTCATTGTTCCCTGTTAAAGTAGCAAAAAAACCTCCCATTTTTTATTAATGATGGAGTTTGGCACCAGAGTCAGTGTAGTATTGAGTGAATATGCCCACATATATACGTTCATGTGTGCGTTTATTTAATAAAGACGCTGCGTAATGACCGTGGGTGGCCTTTGACCTCTTGCTCTCTCTCTCTCTCTCCGCAGCTGTTTGATGGCATCGAGTGCGAGTTTCCCATATTTTTCATCTACATGATCATTGACGGTGAGGCTGAGGGTCGTGATTTAACTGTACGGGTCAATTTTGAATTATTGCTGCAGTTAAACTGAAACAGAGGCTTTTCTGCCGCGTTTTTCTTCTGGAGGTTTGGTTGTGATTCCTCTCTGTGTTCTGTAGGGGTGTTCAGGGGAAACCCGGCGCAGGTCAAGGAATACCAGGAGCTGCTGCAGGACGTCGTTTTCCAGTCCTATGATGGTGAGGTTCCGTCTTTCAAAGCTGATCTGCTCCCCTGTTCATACCTTCACGCCCTCATTTAAATGTCTTTCTTTAGAGAAGCTCTGAAAGGCTTGGGTGACTTTTCTCATTATTCACTACTGTGCACACTTAAAAAAGATGGTTCTTCAGGGGTTCTTTAGGAAAAAAAATGGTTCTGTATAGAAGCATTACCACTCAAAGAACCCTTTGCATGATTAAAGGGTTCTTTGGGTCATGAAAGGGGTTCTATATAGCACTAAAACTGCGACAACCATGACATTGTAACAATAGAAGAAGAACGCTTTTCAAAAAGGCCCTATATAGAACCATATACAGCACATTATCCTTCAATCTGAAGAACCCTTTCATGATTAAAGGGTTCTTTCATGATTAAAGGGTTCTTTTTATTTACATTTTGCTCTTTCGGTGCTATATGTAGAACCCTTTTCAAAAAGGCCCCGTATAGAACTACATACAGCACATTATCCTTCAATCTGAAGAACCCTTTCATGATTAAAGGGTTCTTTCATGATTAAAGGGTTCTTTTTATTTGCATTTTGCTCTTTCGGTGCTGTATGTAGAACCCTTTTCAAAAAGGCCCCATATAGAACTACATACAGCACATTATCCTTCAATCTGAAGAACCCTTTCATGATTAAAGGGTTCATTCATGATTAAAGGGTTCTTTTTATTTACATTTTGCCCTTTCGGTGCTATATGTAGAACCCTTTTCAAAAAGGCCCCATATAGAACTACATACAGCACATTCTCCTTCAATCTGAAGAACCTTTCATGGTACCATTAACACTTACAGAACCCTTTGCATGATTAAAGGGTTCTTTGCATGGTGAAGTGGTTCTTCAGATTAATGGAGAATGGTTAAATATAGAACCTTTTTTGAAAAGGGTTCTATATAGCACCGAAAAGAGTTCTGATATTGTGACAGGCTTGACAACGTAACAACAGAAGAACCCATTTCGGTGGTATATATAGAACCCTTTTCGAACCCTATATAGAACTATATACAGCACATTCTCCTTCAATCTGAAGAACACTTTCATAATTTAAAAGGTTCTTTGAGTGTTCATGGTTCTATCTTTACTAAGGAACCCTTAAAGAACCTTCTTTAAGAGTGTATACACCATATCACACTACACTATGTGCTTACCCTATATGTACTACATAGTAGTATGTATGTATAGTGTAATATTCAGGGTTCTTTAGTAAAGAACATGTTCTATATAGAACCATGAACACTCAAAGAACCCTTCGCATGATTAAAGGGTTCTTTGCATTATGAAGTGGTTCTCCAGATTGATGGAGAATGATTAAATATAGAACCTTTTTGCAAAGGGTTCTATATAGCACCAAAAAGGGTTCTATGGTTATGATGTCAAGCTTGTAACAGTAGAAGAACCCTTTTTGGTGCTATATTGAACCTTTTCAAAAAGGCTCTGTATAGAACCATCTACAACACATTCTCCATCAATCTGAAGAACCATTTAATCATGCAAAGGGTTCTTTGAGTGTTCTACAGTATATAGAAACATTTTTTTCGCTAAAGAACCCTTGAAGAACCATCATTTTGAAGTGTGTATGTTCATTAGTCTTCTGCACTTTATACACTTCACAATAACAGGCTTTAATAATCTTCATCTTATTGTTTGTCAGTGATGGTTAATGATTATAATAGCTTCCCACAGTGCCTATCAAAAGTATTCACCCCCATTTCATGTTTTATTATCACAGAACATTAAATTTATTTCTTAACACTGATCAACAAAAACTCTAAACACTGATCAACAAAAACAGTCTCAGTCAAACTGAAAACAAATCTCTACAAAGTGAATTAAAAATGTCATGATATGAAATGAAAACATGCCAAAATGTGATGAAATGTAGGATTTCATGATGTATTGAATCATTTCCTAAAGAATCATCATTAAACCGAATCAAATTTTGTCAAATGTGAGATTTTGTGAGACACTGAATTGAAATCCTAGAGAATCATAATCAAACCGGCATGAATTCAAGATTTTATGATGTGCTGAATCTTAACTTAATTGAACTGAATTGTAGTAAATATGAGGTTTTATTGATGGATTGAATTGTTTTGTAAAGAATCAAAATTGAACTGAATCATGATTAACGCAGGATTTCATGATACACTGATTCTTTTCCTAGAGAATCATTTTCGAACTGAATCAAATCATAATGAAATGTGAGATTGAATCATTGAATCATTTCCAGTCGTAACTGAATTGAATTGAATCATGTTAGTGTGAGATTTCAAGACACAGTGAATCGTTTCCTGGAGAATCGTAATGGTATTGAATCTAATTGTGATGATTTTAAGTTTTTTTTTTCATGATTTTGAAACGTTTTTCAAAGATTTTTGTCAGAGAGGTCAGGAATTTAGACCCCTGGTGTGTATTTATTTATTTATTTATTTATTTTTAACGCAGGCCATGCCGTCATCCCCAAGTACTACTACGTGCCGGCGGACTTTGTGGAGGCTGAGCAGAAGAAGCACGGCAGCCAGAAGCGTTTCCCTAGCAACTCGGGCCGCGATGGGATGCTGTTCCTCTGGGGTCAGGCTCTGTACAACATCGCCAAGCTGCTGGGTGAGTGTCCAGGGGTCAGAACTGACTCATACAGGGCTCAGACGCAGAACCGGCTCGTTTTGAGCGGAGCCAAACTTCGGATCTCACATTTATTATTATGATGTTCTTAAACCTGCTGGAACAAAAACTGGTGAATTGTTCCTGCAATGGTTGTGATGCAATGATGGTTCTTTAAAGGATCTTTAGTAAAGAAAATGGTTCTACATAGAACCATAAACACTCAAAGAACCCTTAATAAAGAAAAAGGGAGTTCTTCTGTTGTATACATGCTTGACATCGTAACAATAGAAGAACCCTTTTTGTTGCTACATAGAACAATTACCAAAAAGGTTCTTTAAATTGATAGAGAAGGTGTTGTATATGGTTCTATATAGAACCTTTTTGAAAAGTGTACTATATGGTACCAAAAAGGGTTCTTCTATTGTTACAAGCTTGACATCGAAACGACAGAAGAAACCCTTTTTGGTGCTACATAGAACAATTTTCACAAAGGTTCTTCCGGTTGATGGAGAATGTGTTGTATATGGTTCCAGATAGAACCTTTTTAAAAAGGGTTCTATATGGCACCAAAAGGGGTTCTTCTATTGTTTCAAGCTTGACATCGAAATGACAGTAGAACCGTTTTTGGTGCTACATAGAACCATTTTCACAAAGGTTCTTCAGATTGATGGAGGACATGCTGTAGATGGTTCTATATAGAACCTTTTTGAAAAGGATTCTATATAGCACCAAAAAGGGTTCTGCTGTTGTTACGATGCCAAGCCTGTAACAATAGAAGAACGCTTTTTGTTGCTACATAGAACAATTTTCAGAAAGGTTCTTTTTAGAACCATATACAACACATTCTCCATCAATCTGAAGAACGTATTCACGGTGCAAAGAACCATCTAATCATGCAAAGGCATCATGGTTCTACATAGAATAGTTTCCTTCACTAAAGAACCCTTGTAGAACCATCTTTTTTAAGAGTGTATATTAAAGAGTCCATACAGTCCAAATATGGAAATCACTGTTTTGGTGATGTCACAAAAACCAGCATATTGATGTATATCCACCTTTTCAGCCTACACCAGTTTAGCCCCGCCCCCTTACGCTATAAAGCTATAGCTATAAGGAGCATTTCAGCCATTTAAGGCACAATATTGGCAAGCCAATTAGAACAAAGGTCATTTACATAGTTTAGTCTTAAAGGGACAGTAATAAAAACTGTTTAACTAATTTTGGTGCATAAACGCATACAAATGTCGTAAATGGACCTCAGGAGAGAAATAAAACACAAGCTATTGCTGGAAATGAGCCGTTTAGAAGATTTCAGCAGCTGGTTGGCTGGAGTCGACACACACAAACAATAAAATGTAGGTTATGGGTTCTTTAACCTTTTCAACTCCTTGGGACCACCGGTGGTTCCAAAACGCACTTCGTCATATTCTTCATAACTTTCATATTTCATAAGCTACATTCTAAAGCTGGGGGTCGTATGAGAGCTGTAACTGTCTTCTTTCCAGTCAAATAGATGGTGATGTAATTTTAAACCCTTATAATAAAAGAAGCTGAATTTTTTGTCTACTGAAAGTCGACCCATTTTTCCACAAATCTTGGCTATAAACTATAAACAGATGGCGTCTCTTCAGTGATCTGCTCTGTAAAAATTATTTTTATAAAATGATACAAAGAGCGTCTAAGATTTTTGGCTTTCAGCAGTAAATTGTAAGCATATAGCAATATGTGTATCATAAAACACATGTTCTGTTAATTTGAGGGGAACTTTTACCAAAAATGAATAAATAAAATAAAAATTTACATTTATTTCATGCAGTAACTGAATAATTTGCCTCATGATTTGGTCATGTAAATTCAGATGGACAAACCAAAACGTACCCTGTTGAATAAGAGGTTAAAATGATTCCATTTTTGGTTTACATTTTTTTTCTCCCTGTAAAAATCCAGTTCATTTATGTTACAGTTTGCCTTTTCGTTCCTCGATCGAGTTCGGAGCTCCGCTCGGCAAAATTAGCAGGAGCTGCTCAGCTATTCATGCGGCGATTATTATACCATATGCACTCTCTCCCCCGGTCCGCTCAAAGGGAATTTCGGAGTGAGCGTTTTTCAAAAGGCTTCTGTCGTGCTCTTTTGAACGAGGCGTCGGAGGAGGTTTGTTGAGCTGAACTGTGAGGTTACACTAATGAACGTGTTGTTAGAGAACGAAAGAGACGCATTAGGAAGGGATGGATTGTGCTCCGAGCGCACTGCTCCCTGTACGTTTCAATCACAGTTCGGTCTAAGAGCCATTTCCATACAGTTTAAAAAGCTTCCGCTTGTATTTGATTTGTATGTGATGCATTATTCATATCAGACCTGACTCTGTGCAGGTGAATTGGTGCTCCGGTGGTGCAGCAGTGCACATTAGGGCTGCATAATATGGGCAAAATATCACATTGCAGCTATATATCACAATATATCATGCATACTGCCATTAGAATATACTGTAACTGACAATGCATTAAAAACACTTTAACAAACACTTAATTAGAAGCGATTAAAGACAGACAGACAGACAGACAGACAGAAAGGTAATAGTGAGATAGATACACCATATAGCCTAAAGTATGTGGTTGGACATCCAGTTCCAAAACCATGGGCATTAATATGGAGCTGCCCCCCTGTGCGGCTACAACAGCCTCCACTCTTCTGGGAAGCTTTCCACCAAATTTTGGAGAGTGTCTGTGGGAATCTGTGCCCATTCAGTGAAAAAAGCATTTGAGAGTTCAGGCACTGATGTTGGACGAGAGGGTCTGGCTCACAGTCTCCGTTCTAGTTCATCCCAAAGGTGTTCAGTGGGGTTGAGGTCAGGGCTCTGTGAGGGCCACTGGAGTTCCTCCACACCAGACTGGTCACTCCATGTCTTCATGGAGCTGCTTTGTGCACAGGGGCTCAGTCATGCTGGAACAGGAAAGGCTCTTCCCCAAACTGCTGACACAAAGCTGTGTAAAATGTCTTTGTGCTGCAGCATCAACATCACCCTTCACTGGAACTGAGGAGCCCAAACCCGTGAAAAACAGCCCAGCTCATCATCCCTCCTCCACCAAACTCTACTGTTGGCACTATGCATTCTGGTTCTCCTGGCGTCCGCTAAACCCAGAATCGTTCATCAGACTGATTGAGTGATTCATCACTCCAGAGAACACGTTTCCACTGCTCCAGAGTCCAGAGGCGGCACTTTACACCCCTCCATCCGACACTTGGCATTGCGCATAGTGATCTTAGGCTTGTGTGCAGCTGCTCAGCCATAGAAACCCATTTAATGAAGCTCACAACACACAGCTATTGTGCTGATGTTGCTTCCAGAGCCAGTTTGGAACTGTAGTGAGTGACAGCAGAGGGTAGGCCATTTTTACACGCTTCAGCACTCGGCAGCCCCACTCTGTGAGCTTGGGTGGTCTACCACTTCGTGGCTGAGCTGTTGTTGCTCATAGACGCCCGTATATATGGCCAGGGCAGGTCTAGCATGGCGTCCCATGACAGTGCCACGTTTAAACTGAGCTCTGAAGTACGACCCATTCTACATCCAGTGCATCCAGTAGTAAGTGTGGCTAATACTCCTGAAGTCGATAACTAGGAGGGGTGTTCACATACTTTTGACCATATAGTCTAGGTAGGTAGACAAGTAGACAGGTATACAGGCAGGTAGTTGGTAGACAGGTAGAGAGGTAGACAAGTAGACAGGTAGGTAGGTAGGTAGGTAGGTAGGTAGGTAGACAGGTAGACAGGTAGGTACACTAACAGAAAAAAACATCCAGACAGACAGACAAATAAAATGGTAATTGAAATGTAATCTTAACTTTCTATATAATTTTCCAGTCAAATGTGTGTATTTGGTATATTTTTATAAATGGATCTAAATCATATTAAAAACATGAAATCGAATCACTGAGTTAAAATCTAATCAAATTCTTTGGGGGTCAGTGATGTGTATTGTGAGATAAGCAGAATGACGTGCTTTAATCAGAGTAATAATCTTTCCTCTGCTCCCACAGTGGACGGTCTGATCAGCCCTAAGGATATCGACCCCATCCAACGCTACGTCCCACGGCAGGACCAGAGGAACGTCAGCATGAGATACTCCAATCAGGTAAGCTGGTCCTTCATCCCACCAAGGCTGTCTCACGGTCTTCATCTGCAGTGTGTCCAGTAAGGCTGGATGTTGCTTACATGCTCACGATAAGATGCTCATCATTATGACCATAACAGAGCTTTATAGAGGCTTTTTAAATGAAACAGTAGAAGCCATATCGCCCCCTACACTTCCTGTAGTGTATTACAGTCTGTCAGAGTGACTGTGTGGATCATATGAACATTATAGAGGCTTTTTAAATGAAACAGTAGAAGCCATATCGCCCCCTACACTTCCCGTAGTGTATTACAGTCTGTCAGAGTGACTGTGTGGATCATATGAACATTATAGAGGCTTTTTAAATGAAACAGTAGAAGCCATATCGCCCCCTACGCTTCCTGTAGTGTATTACAGTCTGTCAGAATGACTGTGTGGGTCATATGAACATTATAGAGGCTTTTTAAATGAAACAGTAGAAGCCATATCGCCCCCTACACTTCCTGTATCATGCTTATCATTACAGCTCTGCCATTATATATAAGGGTTCAAATCAGTGATAAATTATGCTGATAATTGTATTGTGATCACAGTCCTAGTGTAGAGATTCAGCTTGCTGTACTGAGATGTGTTTTATATTGGGATCTGTACTGTACCACATTTTGAAATGACCACTCCAGTGGCTAAGAGTCATGTCCTCTGCTTGTATAATCTCTCTCTGTGTCCTGTTTGATGTTGGTGTCCCAGACACAGCGGGAGCCGGCACACATCCACAGCTCGTTTCATCAGCACCGCAGGGCTGTTTACACTTAAAAACTGGGCTCTACACACACCGCGTGGCTTAACTCTCAGAGTCTGTTACGTAATAAACTACAGCACTGTGCAAAGAGACTGCATTTCCTTAATTTGCAGTCAAACACGGCCATTAAGCACAAGTTATTACATTTTTCAGGAGATATTTCTGAGGCGACTAGATACACCATAATCAGTGAAATAAGAAACAACACTGGAGTTCCCCAAACTGTTCAAACACAGAAGTTGGAAGTGTACAAGTGTCCAAAATGTCTTGGTGCTGAAGCGTTAAGATTTCCCTTCACTGGAACTAAAGGTTCTAGACCAACCCCTGAAAAACAGCCCCATATCATCATCCCTCCTCCACCAAACTCTACAGCTGGAACAGTGCAGTCAGGCAGGTAACGTTCTCCTGGCATTCACCAAACCCAGACTCGTCCATCAGACTGACCGGTAGAGAAGTGTGATTCATCGACACTTGGCATTGTCCATTTTGATCTTAGGCCTGTGTGCAGCTGCTCAGCCATAGAAACCCATTTCTTGAAGCTCCTAATGTGGAGTTCTTTTGCTGATGTTGCTTCCAGAGGCAGTTTGGAGCTCTTTGGTGATTCAACAGAGGATAGGCGCTGTGTGAGTTTGGTGGTCTTCCGCTTCGTGGCTGAGCTGTTGTTGCTCTTAAACTCCATTTCACAATAATAGCACTTACAGTTGTCTGGGGCAGATCTAGCAGGACAGACATTTGACAAACTGATTTGTAGCAGAGGTGGCATCCTATAACAGAGCCATGTTTAAGGTCACTGAGCTCATCAGTACGACCCATTCTGCTGCTACTGATCTCCATTTTGGCCATTTTTCATTTTTTGTGCCACAATTTGAAAAAAGCCAGTTGCCCTTTATTTTGCATTAAATTTCAGGATGAATGCACCAAGAGAAATGGTCCAAAATGACTTTTTAATTAAACTGTCTCCATTAACTTCCATTAGAAGTTAAGAATGTTTTTCCTTCTCCTGTAAAGTAGCGTTTTTTGGTTTTGTTCCAAAAGCTGTGATATGTATTTTCTGACCAAATTAGAATCCTCACAAACACGGATTGCAAGTTTAAAATCTGCACTTTCCACACAGCTACTCCACTTGTTTCTCTGAGCTACGGGTCAGAAATAATTCATGTAAAATTACAGGGGTTTTGTGATGGTGATGACTGTGATCTCTAAGGGTTCAGTGAGCCTGTGTTGAGCTGAGCGACGCTGCACTCGTCTCTTCAGGGCTCTGTCCGCTGGTTCCTGTCGGACTGCAGGTCCGGTAGATTGTCATGCGGTATGTTCTGCTGTCAGAAGGCTGTGCGTCAGTACGCCGGTCATGGTTGTTGACTGCAGATTCTCTGCAGGTGGAGTGGACGAGAGACGGTCACCAGCAGCAGGTCTGTGGGCTCAGCAGATTCAGTTAGTCATGGTTATGTGTCTGAACATACTGAGGATGATGGCATCCTTTCAGCTGAAGCCAAACAGGACAGGACGCAGCAAATGTTTTCGCCCTCGCTGAGTGAGATTCTGGCAGATATACACAACAGCAGAGTTGTTTACCAGGAAGGAAAAGTGTTGGTAATGCAGTGAGAGTAAAAGTACATTTACAACAAAACAACTCGGGTAGAAGAACAAAAGCAGCCGCTCAAACATCAATTAAAGGGGACTCGCAGCATTTTTTAAAATTCTGCATTATTAAAGAATCAGACGTCCACCTCTAAAACCTCCCTCACAGGAAGTTACTGCATGAAATGGTTATGAATTCACTGCCTGATGACTGAGACACTGTTTTATGATAGTTTTGAGAAGATTTGGCCTTAAAACATTTTTTTTAAATCTGTTCATAGTGGAGGGATACATGCAGGATGTTGTGAGGCAAAATAGTCCCTGAAAAGGGTTCCCAAAAGCTTAGTCTAAGTGTTAAGATGGTCTCAACTGGTAGAGAGATGTGTGCTAAGACGCTATTTCTCTCTCTCTCTCCCTCTCTCTCCCTCTCTCTCTCTCTCTCTCTCTCCCCTCTTCCTCTCTGTCAGTCTCTCATCTATATATCTGTATGTATACTTTCTCTCTCTCCTTTGCTCTCTCGATCTCTCTCTCTCTCTCTCCCTCTCTCTCTCTCTCCCTCTCTCTTTCCTCTCTCTGTCTCTCTTCCCTCTTTCCCTCTCTCTCTCTCTCTGACTCACTCTAACTCAGGGAAACATGCTTTTGCGAGTAAACAGTCTTCAAAATCAGGCGAGGACATCATTCTGACTGTATAACAGAAATGTTTATTCCAGTGTTGAACAGCCAACAAATGATTTCAGAAATGCAGTTCATACACACACGTCTGTCTACAGTCTACAGACAGTCATACACACGTCTACAGACAGTCTACAGATAGTCATACACACACGTCTACAGACAGCCTACAGGCAGTCATACACACACGTCTACAGACAGCCTACAGGCAGTCATACACACACGTCTACAGACAGCCTACAGGCAGTCATACACACACGTCTACAGACAGCCTACAGACGGTCATACACACACGTCTGTCTACAGTCTATAATTATACACACACGTCTACAGACAGTCATACATGTCTACAGACAGTCTACAGACTCACACACACATGTCTACAGACAGTCATACACATATACAGACAGTCTACAGACAGTCCTGCGCACACATCTACAGACAGTCTACAGACAGGCATACACACACGTCTACACACACGTCTACAGACAGTCTACAGATAATCATACACACACGTCTGTCTACAGTCTATAATCATACACACACGTCTGTCTACAGTCTATAATCATACACACACGTCTACAGACAGTCTACAGACAGTCATACACACACGTCTGTCTACGGTCTACAGACAATCATACACACACGCCAACAGACAGTCTACAGACGGTCATACACACACGTCTGTCTACAGTCTATAATCATACACACACGTCTACGGACAGTCTCCAGACAGTCATACACATCTAGTCATACACACACATCTACAGACATCTACACACGTCTACAGTTATACACACACATCTACAGACAGTCAATCTGACATTTTTCCCCTTTAAAAACTGCTAAGCCTAAGTCTTGAATACAATTTCCACAGTTATTTCATGTTGCATAGCTAGCTTCTTATGTTAAGGGGGAATTCCACCAAGTTTTCAAAATTTACTCATAATTCAGATGTCTTTACAGTGGTGTTGATGGGAACCAGGGGTCGCCATGACTACAACAGAAATATAGACATTTTATTTACTATCCAAAACCACCTACACGAGTCTTCTGAGTTTATATGGAATGTTGATGATGGGAAAATAGTGGAAAATCTGAAATAATAAGTTTTCTTTGGTGGCCATTTTGCCTCACAACACCCTGCATGTATCCCTCCACCATGAATGGAGTTTAAGTTCTCAAAACTATCCTAAAACAGTGTCTCAGTCATCAGGCAGTGAATTCATAACCATTTCATGTAGTAACTTTCTGTGAGGGAGCTTTTAGAGGTGGACGTCTGGTTCCTATCACCACCACTGTGAACAGTTCTGACTCGGTAAGTCTCTCTAGAACGGAGCGTTTCACACCAAACCACTCTGAATGACCCTGTTTACATCTCACACACTTCATTTATGTTGTCTCACACTATATTCTGTTCTTCTTTCCTCTGATATCCAGTCCAGTGTTCATTGCTGGTACCCATTTTTTTTATATCAGATCATTTTAATCTCCCCTCACAAAAGCCCACGAGTCGTTTATCATCTCCACCCAAAACCAAACTACGAGTTAATCAAGCCGGTCATATGGCTTTTAATAAAGGTACATCTATGCAACATCAGTCTTCAAGGACTTAATTAAGGAATAATTATATTGTTTCAGATAAGATTTGAGCTGAATTACTGTATCATTATTACTATAATGAAAATGAGATAATTAGTAATATAAGCGAACCCCTGCAATAAACGATGAAGTAAGTTTCAGTGGATTTAATTGGATAAAAATAGTGAAAGAATTTGCATATTTTCCCCAAATGAGTAGCAAGAACATCATATAGATATTTTGCAGAGGAGCTGCAGAACCTAGCAGTCAGATCAATTAACATCTACACTTAATAGCAATGGTTCTTCAAAGGGTCTTTAGTAAAGACAGTGGTTCTATATAGAACCGTGAACATTTAAAGAACCGTTTGCGTGCTTGGACGGTTCTTTGC